TCAACTCCAAAAATGCCTAACAATAAATGCAGACATTCAAGAAACAAGAATAAGGAAGATACCACAACTCCCCCCTGCCCCTCCACTTCACAGGAACACAATAACATTTCAATATTAGAATGGGAAGATGAAGAGATTGTAGAAATGCTGGAAATAGAATTAAAAAATTAATCATAAGATTACTCAAAAGCAATCAAAAGCAAATCCACAAACTAAAGAAAACAATACATGACATGAATGAAAATTTTTCCCATGAAATTGAGATTTTTAAAGAGAAATCCAAATGAAATCTTAGAAATGAATAATTCAATAGATCGAATAAAAATGTGGTGGAAAGCCTTAAGGGCAGACTTGGTGAGGCAGAAGAAAGAATATGTGAACTAGAAGACAAATCTTTGGAGGAAATCTTTCAGTCAGACAAAAAAAAAAAAAAAAAAAAGGAGAAGGAGAAGAAGAAGAAGAAATTAGAAAACTTAAAAACAGAGTTGGAAATTTATGGGATGCTATCAAATGACCCAACATAGATGTCTTATGAGTTCCTGAAAGTAGGGAAACAGAGAATGGACTAGAAAGCCTATTTGTGAAATAATTCCAGAAGTTTTCCCCAATTTGGAGAAAGAAAGGGATGTTCAAGTAGAGGAAGCACATAGAACTCCTAACAGACATGATCAGAAAAGATCTTCATCACAACACATTGTCGTCAAAATTTCCACAGTAAAACATAAAGAAAAGACTCTAAAATGCACAATGGAGAAACACCAGATTACTTTCAAAGTATCTCCAATTAGATTCACAGCTGACTTCTCATCAGAAACCCTAAAGGCTAGAGAGAATGGTGAGATATGGTCCAAGTCTTAAGAGAAAAAACTATTAATCCAGAATACTGTACCCTGCAAAGCTCACATTTATGAATGAAGGTTAAAAAAAAAAAAGACCTTCTGTGGGGAGCAAACCGGACTAGACTGAGTTACTGGAATTAAGACTTGTTCTGTGCATCTGCTCTCCCACAATGTGGCGCTGGGAGAGAAGTAAACAGCTTCTGCACAGCTGCCTCCAGTTCAACTAATAAACTGTAGGACTTGCTCCTGATTGGAGGAGAGCAGCGTACTCGGCGTGTGGGCAGCCGAGTTGGGATTGGCGGAGGAGGACTATAAAGGAGGAGAGAGACGGCATGCACCGGGAACATCTATGGGGAACATCTAGCTGAAGGAACACCTGTGCAGCCCCCCAGAGAGCCGGCCGGCGGTGTGCCGCTCCCCTGCGGAAGTGGGGAATGTGGCCAGGGGGAACTGCCCTTCCACTGAGGTGGAAGGGATAGTAGCCAACCCGGGAAGAACCAGCAGCAAACCCGGGGAGGGCCGAGCAGACGAAAGAACAGCGCAGGGTCCTGTGTCGTTCCTCCACGAAGAGGGGGAGCGACATAATGGTGCCATGACTCGGATATGAAGCCTAGGCAGGGTTCAGTGTCGTTCCTCCACGAAGAGGGGGAGCGACACCTTCCATAACAGAGGGAAATTGACTAAATTTGTCAACATTTGTCCAGCCTTACAAAAGATGCTTAAGCATGTGCTACACACAGAAACACAGAAAGGTAGCCATCACTATGAAAGAATGTGAAGGCAGAAAATCACCAGTAAAAGTACCACCAAAGAAATTCAAGTAAACAATGGAAATATGTATGGAAAAATGGCAAGACCAAGTCATTACTTATGAATAGTCACCTTGGATGTAAATGGCCTCAATTCCCAGTTAAAAGGTACAGGCTAGGGTCCAGTGTCATGGCATAGTGAGTAAAGTCGCCACCTGCAGTGTTGGCATCCCAAATGGGTGCTGGTTCAGATCCTGGCTGCTCCACTTCTGATCCAGCTCCCTGGTAATGTACCAGAGAAAGCAGAAGATGGTCCGAGTCTATGGGCCCCTAGACAAAGACCTAGGCAAACAACAACAAACCAAACCCCAAATAATAGAAGGAAAGAAATAATTAAAATTAGAGAAGAAATAAACAAAACTGAAAAAAAAATCTGTGAAATGAAGAGTTGGATTTTTGAAAAAATAAACAAAATTGATAAACTATTGGGCTAACTGATCAAAAAAAAAAAAAAAAAAAAAAAAAAAAAAAGA